GCTCGTACTCTTCCACAATCTTGCCATACTCCAAGTCCACCTGGTGTAATTGATTCTTGTCCACACTCAGGAGCAGCATTTTCCTCTCGGTGTCGTCCAGTAATGCACTGTCGTATGTGGAAACCTCCCCAAGCTGAAACCTTTCCGGATCCCTGCTTTCAAATCCATCTGCGCCAAAGGCATGCGCCTGAAATTCAACCGCGTTCCGCTCTCTACGCACCACCAGTGCCCGATCAAACCGTTTTGATTCTGCGCAACACACATTGCCCCTGCCAGTGGCGTTTGCCCATTCATGAGACACATCCAGCTCATACATGGGCTCCTCAAACGTGTCCCCTGGCAACCGCGACGATGCAATGGCCGACAAGTATTCATAGCTCTCATCTTCTGGATTGGTCCTTTCCACAGAAGTTCCGGTCATGAGGGCGTATGTACACCGATTGTAAATACACACAAAATGTTCTAAAAGGACAGCAGCCTTCACCTTAGGCTCCTGGTCCACAAACAAAAATGCTATAGGCTGTAATTTACCGTCGATGAAAGCAGACCAGTGCACAGAAACCTCGGAGTAGGCGAGGGTGAGCCCGTTTCCAATGGGCTGGCGTAGCACTTCTTCCTCATATTCGTACAAAATGATAGAATAAAGGCAAGAATGCGCTTCATTCTCTTCTTCATCGGCATCAATGCATATAGTGTACTGACCCACACTTTCCTTGCCACCGAGCAGCTCATAAACATCCTTGTGCAAAAAGTACAACGTCCCACGGCCCGTAAAGAGGATGGTGGCGGAGCTCTGTTTCATAGCAGCAAACCCTCGTCGAAGCATCTCGTCCCAAAAACAACCGATTTTGTAATGTTTCTTCCTTTCCTTCCTTTTTTTTTTTTTTGATGTTGTCTTTTTCTTTCAACACTGCGCTCTAAATATCCTTTTAAATCCTGTTTCCTTTTTTTTTTCTTTCTGATAAATAAACTAAAATAAAAAATAACAATCTGCTAATGCGTATGCCGCTTACCCACCGCGAACGATCCCCCGCCCCACCCATGCAAGAAAAGTAAAAAAGAAAAAGAAAAAAGAAAAGACAGCAATAAAGGCAGAAGTCAAAAAAAAAAAAAAAACGCCATCCCCAGGCAAGACACACACATTCACACCCCTGTTGCGGTAACAAAGGAAAAATATATCGGAGGTGTGCAGAAGAAGAGCAAACGCACAACCACAGTCAAGCACCCTCTCACATATCGCCATGCAACACAAACCGCATATCAACCTTCCAGCCAAGCAGTGAAAACAATACACCCCCTAAGAAATCCAAGGAGCAAAATCAGCAAAAACAAAAATTACCCAAATTAGCAAAATCAGCTTAAAATGCCAAACACACACACACACGGCGATTATCCCTCCTCTCTGCACCTCTAAGCCTTGCCCAGTAGTCATACATTCCTCTCAGCGTTGCAGAAAATAAGATTTCAGGGCGCCAAACACATCCTATTGGCCAAACCCACATCGAATACAAAACAGAAAAAAAAAAAAGACATTTGCAAGCACAAAAAAAAAAAGAAAAACATATAAACACCAAGCTGCGGCAAACGGAATAACCATCATGCCTGCACCCATTAAAAAAACAGTCTAATTCCGTACTCCACATCCACGCAGTAACTGTTCGCGGGCTTCTGCCCCCTCCCAAAAAAAAAAAAAAAACAAGGAGAGAGCACGAGTGGGTCAGGGAAAAAACGTAGTCCCCCGACTGACCCCTCAAACCAACAGGAAACACACACATACCATAGGAAAAGCACACACGAAACAAAGACTGACCACCGCAAGATGCCCGTGAGGTGGGAATGTTGCTGGTCCTTTCCCCAGACGCGTGCCACAAGCTCCACCCGTAACAAAGAAAATATGGAGGCGTGCCCCAGGGCATCGGCAAACGCACAAAAAAAGGGAGGCTGCCTCACAAGTAGTTGTACTGCTTTGTGCCCTTTTCCTGCCGCTCCTGTCGCTTCAGTGGCGCCATGCGGATGTCCTGATCCGTCATGTACATCACTCGTTCCGGCACCGTCGCAGAAACAGCAAGGACCTCGCGCTTAACTAATGCAGTCTCGCCAATGCACGCGTGACCGTCCTCCACGGCCCGTTTCGCTGCCTCAAAGCTCCACGTAAGCACATACTTCCCGCCGCACGCTGTGATGCAAGTCTCACGACCATCCTCGAAGCGGTCAAATCCGCCAGAAATAAAGTTCAGCTCGTCAATTCCCCCAACAGCCTCAATCTGCTGAGGCGTTGGCTGAAGCCTCAGCGGATTCGGTTTCTTTTTGCCCATTCGCGATACAAAACCATTTTTCTCGGAGTTCGTCTCATCCGTGTACACCGTCCGCATGAGTAGAAGATACTTGGCGCAAACAGCCAGAACATAACTCCCGTCCGCTGTCACATCCACCACCCATTTCTTACGGAAAATTTAAACAATGCCTCGACCACCTCTCCGCCTTTTTACATCGCCCGCCAAGCCCCAATAAAACCTTGATGGGAAATTTCTTAAATTTTCTTTTTTTTTTTTTTTCGTCTTTTACTGCCTTGGAAAATGAAATAAAAAGTAAAAGGTGCCTGTGAGAAAGAAGAGAATGCACGCAACAGTCATTTAAGGGGTTGCTCACTTGAACACGCGGGCATACTTTTTGGCAAGTGGTTCAGTTCTTCTCGCGTTGTGGCATTGAGCAAGATAATCCGTTTCCCTTTTACCCTTCATCTATCTCTGCCTCTTTCTTGCCATTCAGGAAACTTCAATCTCATCACGCACGATTTGTACCGCTTCTGTAAATTCACGCAGTAACTGCTGGTGCTCCGGCTGCCCAGTACGCAGCATCGAGTTTTCAAACCATCTTGCCAACGCGGTTCCACCCCAGTGCAACGTCACGTAGCACAAGCCACTAAAATGCAACAGTCGGCAGATGCGACTCATGACTGTGACATCTGGAAAATACCGATAAGTGCTATTCGTTAGGAGGCTAAGCAAACGAGAGCGAAAAAGTGGTTCCTCCTCTTCTTTTCGGGCTCGAACTGTGTAACTAACCGCAAAAAATCCGCTTTTAGTAGACGGAGAAAAGCATGGAAGAGGCACAGCGCGCAGACGGAAGCGCGCAGCCCCTGCAAAAATCGAACGGATCCAATCTGCAATTATCGGCGTGATGCAAACCAACCACGAAATCTCCAATAAGCAGTGACAATTAGGGCTATAGGTAGCCGGTATTGACACCTCCATGGAAAGCATGCGGTTTCTCGTTGGTGCTTCCAGGCAAAGCGTTCGTCCCGTTTTGTGATCCATCAGACAATACGGCTCGAGCGTCAGTGGGTTGTCGTGGATGAGCGTAACGGTGCGTGCAGTAATGCCATCTGACCCGTTGAGCGTTTCTGAAAAATTGGTCGTCATCCCTACTTTTTCTTCCTCGGACTCCGCAGCATCCGTCATTTTGAAGTGTACGGAGAAACGGTGGTTGATAAATGCGGAAAACTCCGCATATGAAACAGATGGGGCTTCAAACGCTTCTGGTAGCAAGGCAACGCAAAGTTTGCCCTCACGCAGCGACAAGTCCGGACCACGTGGAATAAAAATATTAGCGCGGTGGCGATCGCGAAGGTAAGAATCAAGACTTTCCCATTGGAAAGCAAGCTTCTCACCAATCTGCGTCTCCAGGTGCACCGTGCGTAAATCAAAGCCAGGCTTCAGATAGTTCAAAAGGAGATAAGAATGGGAGATAATGTGGGTCACAGAGGCGTTACTGTACATGCCGCCATGCAATATGCGAGTAACAGATATGCTTTGTCCCGCTTCACCTATTTTTAACTCATGAATCTGATGACCAATTGACAATTCTACTCGGGCATTCCGTGTGGGCTCTTCCCGAGGCCACTGGATCCCTGCTGGAGATGAGCCAACTACAACAATCTGATATTGTTGTTGAAGTCGTTGTAGCACGTATTCCAGCAACTGCATATTGTCCCGAATAGAGACGGCATATTGATGAGTGGGAACACCAAAAAAGCAGTCGCGCTGGTAGGGTGACTTCGTTCCATAAATTGGTAGAATTTTGCAATGACATAACGTTGCCCATGGTGATTTCTGCGCCCCAGAAGAAGGTAACTCGGGATAGGCAAACTGCCAACGTCGACGCAGTATCACATCGGCAGTGATATTGCGGGAGGCCGAAGATGCAATCTCGCTCTCCGTCGTTGGGCGGTATGGACTTATGGGTTTTATTGCAAATAAAATGCTGTTCCGTATCTGGAGATGTGCGATGGTTGTGGAAAACGGTGTGACTTCACTGGAGGCCACAATCAACGGCTGGCGAAAAGTAAAGACAATTTCCTCAGGGGTTGAGAATGTCAATTTGCTACTATGCGACGCCAAGATCAACGTGAGCCCGTCTTCCAGAATGGCGGAAAACGTGCGGCAAAAAATATCCAGCGCTCGAAAGCGGGATACAAAATGTTTCTTCTCCTCCTCTGAGAGGCGATTATCCTCGCCCGAAAAGGCGCCCATCAGGACTGCCCACATATCTACGTCAGTTAAAATCTTCGGCGACCAACAAGCATCCGGAAGAGCAGAGGAATCAATGCGTAGTCTGAGAAACACGTATCCGCTCTGAAGATCGCTGTCTAAAATGTTCAACCCGCATGAAACTATACCGTTGGCCTCTGGCTCCATGGCCACATTTCTTGTGTGTCCATCCCCAGAATGCTCATGAGATTGGTGGATGATAAAATCATAAAGGTATTCACGACTGAATGTTTGCTGAGAACTAAATGCGCAGCCACGGTGACAGTACCAGCTGGCAAAAACAAGTGGACGACTATGCCCGGGTGTAGGGCTTGACTTGGCATCGCCATCTGGTTGTGTTGTACCAGAGGTTCTCCCAGGCATACCAAATCTCTCGCCCCTCGTGATGCCTTCATGCTTATTGCGTGTCCCAGTAAGACGCAGAGGCGGTTGCGCCTTCTCCCGCACTTCAAAAGAGTGGCGAAAGAGTGTCGGGTAAAATTGTGTCCCACTGTCCTCTGGAACAGCTGACAGTGCGGAAGAAGGCATTGGAGACACAAGTGAATCTGCATCGGCCACCCTCACTGAATTGGAGAGAGCCTGTTCTTTCCTCCGCGTCTCCATCACCGGCAACAACACCTCGCCCACCGGTGCCATTGGCAGTCCAAGGCCTGAAAAAAACTGAGATTTGCTCCCCGGCACCGCACGATGTCGCTGCATCCACTCCTCTCTTGTCAGAAGGTCAAAAGCCAAGAGACCACACGAACTGGCGTCCACCGTGGGGTGGTAAAAGAAGCACCGAGCCCATTCCGGTCGCTCGTAAAAACGTTGGCTTCTTTGACCCACATGCAAATGATATTGTGACCGAAGCGTTTCATCCTCCGAGAAGTATTCAAAAAGCGGTGTAATGTGAAGTGGTGGACGGCCCATACAAATAATGTTGATTTTCTCAATCCCAATGCTAAAAAGTCGTGTACAGGTTGTTTGTGACAATTCATTGGTCACTTGATAAAGTCCCTTTCCAGCAGACACGATACTAATAATATAGCCCGTGTTGGTGTCCCATCGGCCCTTAATGCACTCTTCGAGCACAAGATTTATCGTCTCCACCGTGCACGTATTTTTGGCGTGAACAAAAAGACTCTGCTCAGTCAGTGTATCGGCCACATCTGCCTGAGAAACAAAAGGCACCTCTTCACCAGGGGTACATGTTGTTTCCCCTGCCGCTTCGGTTGAAACTGGTGCCGTTTCCTTTTTAAATGTTTTCTTAACTTCTTGTAGAACACGACGCAGAAACTCCTCACACTGAAGCTCCACCTCCTCAACAAGAGATGTGGACCGATAATCGTGTGGGATTTTCATCACGTGAAGAACGTCCACATTCCCGTTGATGGCATACTTTGGATACAACCGGCCCACCATCAGAATGTGAATAAGAGGAGAGGCCTTGTGTTTATGTACCTGTTGCATTAAATACTCCCGAAGAAAGTTCTTCATGACCCAGCACAACGTAATACGCCCATCCACGGTGGGATTCCACATTTCCTTGGAGATCTCAATAAGGATGTAGTGCACAGGAGAAAGGGAACGAAAATTCACTAGGGTCTCCTTTGTCACAAGACCACTTTGCACGCGACGATATCGACTCTCTTCCTTTCCATCCTGCTGGTGTTGCGGAGACGGCAACGTCAGCGAAGGGTGGGAGAAGTGTGGTTGCACCGGGACACGTTGTGATCCCAACGTCTTTCATGACGTCCAAGAGTTTTCCGCCGCCCCCCTGTGTTCGCCATCGACATCCAATGCTGCCGTGTTGTTGGTCTTGACGCCATCGCCCTGCTGCAAAGCTCCACCGGCCGCGCTCTCAGCTGCTGCCACCGGCTGCAAGGTGCGAAGCATCTCATTCACCTTCATTGTGAACCCACACAAGGTCACTTCCTCGCCCTCGTACAGAATGCGATCACGCAGTGCCTCCGATATTAAAAACATGTCGGCACGTGTTACAAACTGATTCTCAAAGGATAACTCTAAATGTGACAAACCAAACCGTTCCCGCACCTCATCATATGTCGGCACCACACGCGCCAGTGCCTTCCCCTTCGCGATGTTGTTGATAAACTGACTCTTGTTGGCCAACGACTGATGAACGCTGATTGCGCCATTCGCGTAAATCGCATCCTTTTCACCAAAGCAATACGCTCGGCAAACCCAACTATCATATTTGAAAAAACTCACGCCAGCCGATGAAGTGGAAGGATCTGTTTGTTTTTGCTGCTGCTCTTGTTGTAGTTGTTGCCGTCTTCGTCGCAATGCGTCCGAATTAAGCACGGCGTCGCCAGCAAAAATTGCCGGGCGCGCCGCGCCCATGAGACCCGCTCCCTCTGATGCAGGCGAAGCAGCCCCACGATGTCCCATTTCCATCAAACTGGGCGAAATCGCCGCGGCCCCTGGCGACAAAGCGCATCCGCCCATGCCAGAATGACGTTGCCAACTGCCAGGACTCGTGCTCCCGATCTTGCTCTCGTTCTTGTTGCCGCTGCATTCACCACCGCCAGCACCAGCAGCAGTGGAGCTGCTAATTATATTCATGCCGTTTGGAACACAAAGCTCAATAATGGCCTCTGTAAATCCCTCCTCTTCAGTAGGCATCGGACGGTTGTAGTTCTTTGGAGAGTAAAGAAACGGTACCTTGGCAACAGTGTCCGTGTGTGCCCGGAATACAACAGTCACCGGAGTATCATTTTGTCCCTTGGCACTCTGTTTTGCTGAATTACGAGGCCTCCAACGGAGCCCTACAGCCTTCATGCCTGAAAGGTTATTCACCACTTTTTTCTTACCTGTAGGAAGCGTTTTTTCCCACTTTCCCTCTCCCGCAATTCTCGCCGCCCACGCCCTGGTCTGACCATCCTTTATCAATGAAAAGAGCAAAAAAAAAGATTGGAGACACGCAAAGAACAGTGCGCCCACAGCAATCAACAAAAGAAACCATGCACGCATGCATAGAGAAGCACAAGGAAAAGGCCAAAGAAATCAATACGCCAATTCATCAGCACATGACATCACCCGGCAAAACAGGCCAGAGGCAGAAAGGAGGTAATAATAATAATAAAGGGATGAGAAGCGAAAAAAGAAAAAAAAAATCCTTAGCAAGAGCATCACAAGCAAAAAAAAAAAGAAAAAAGAAAAAAGAAAAAGAAACACGGCGGCAACAACCGCACACATACAAAAAAAAAAAAAAAAAAAACATCCAAAGAAGTAGCAAAAAAAAAAAACCTTGTCTCCAAAGTGACACATTTATCCCTTTTGTTGTTGTTGTTTTCACTTTAAATCCCAACCCCCCC